TCGTCTAACCAGACCTCAAAATCAATGGCGCGACCCTCAGCGTCAAAAGCTAGGACACTAGGGGTAGCCATGGCGACGACAGCGACGCAGTGCAAGCAGTAGGGAAAGAGCTCGCAGTGGCAGTGGGACTGTGCTCACCAGGCAGGGCAGGTCGAGTAGGTATGCAGAAAGGCGGCTCAGCGACCTGGCGGCTCGGGTGCTGGGCGGCTCGGGCGCAGGGCGGCTCGGCTCCCGGGCGGCTCGGCGGTAGGGCAGCTCGGGGGCAGGGCGGCTCGGCTCCTGGGCGGCTCGGCGACAGGGCGGCTCGGGTGCAGGGCGGCTCGGCTCCCGGGCGGCTCGGCTGCAGGGCGGCTCGGCTCCCGGTAGTAGGGGGGGGGGGGGGGGGGGGGGGGGGGGCCGCGGTCGAGCAGGCGGCCGGGGCCGCGGTAGTAGCGGGCGGCGAGGCCGTGCGAGCAGGCAGCCGGGGCCGCGACAGGAGCGGGCGGCGGGGCCGCGGTCGAACAGGCGGCTGGGGCCGCGGTCGTAGCAGGCGGCCGGGGCCGCGATCGTAGTGGGCGGCGGCCGCGGCGTAGCGGGCGGCAGGGCCGCGTCGAGCAGGCGGCCGGGGGCTGCGTCGAGCAGGCGGCTGGGGGCCGCGACAGGAGCGGGCGGCGGGGCCGCGGTCGAACAGGCGGCTGGGGCCGCGGTCGTAGCAGGCGGCCGGGGCCGCGGTCGTAGCAGGCGGCGGCCGCGGCGTAGCGGGCGGCAGGGCCGCGTCAAGCAGGCGGCTGGGGGCCGCGTCGAGTAGGCGGCTGGGGGCCGCGACAGGAGCGGGCGGCGGGGCCGCGGTCGAACAGGCGGCTGGGGGGCCGCGGTCGTAGCAGGCGGCCGGGGCCGCGGTCGTAGTAGGCGGCAGCCGCGGCGTAGCGGGCGGCAGGGCCGCGTCGAGCAGGCGGCTGGGGGCCGTGTCGAGCAGGCGGCTGGGGGGGCCGCGTCGAGCAGGCGGCTGGGGCCGCGATCGTAGCGGGCGGCTGGGGCCGCGACTTAGCGGGCGGCTGGGCCGCGTGTGGGAGGGAGGCGACACGGAGGGTCGCTCGATAGCGGAAAAAAAAGTTGAGCGCGCCTCGGGGCGCGCTTCGGTGGGCCCTAGGCAGAGTTCCACAGGGAACCCGCTCTGATACCATGTGAAATGAGTAAGCAGGAATGAATGAACTATGAATGAAAGCAGTACAAATATGAAACCCTAACTGGGTTGTACCCCCTATGGGATACCCCACTACAGCCTACACAGCAGTATAAGCTATAGATATGTTCTGACAGGCGTTGACCTGGACTGTCGAAGATTCAGGTGGCTGCCAGCGAGGTAGAACGACCCAGTTACCACTACTTCACACTGTGCAGCTCCCCGTCGTCCAGTCGATCCGTAGATTGTACCGTCGTAGCCAATCACGTCCCAATAAAATGCCGTGCCCATCCAGTGTCGTCGCGAGCATTTCCTGTGTAAACCCGAAGTTCCCCCCGCAGCGGACTTTTACGCGCTCCACCTTTTCCCGTATGGCCAGGGGCGTGCCGTCGACTAAGCGTGCATCTATCTCAGGTAAACATCGGTTAAGCGTTAATTGTAATTTTCGTGCGGTTGCGGTATTAACTAAGCTGTGGCTTGCTCCTCCGTCAATGAAGATCTTCACTGCTGCTCCCTGTATTTTCCCGTAGATCAGTACCGGGCAATCCGTCGCTGTACCCTCCTTATTCATCCGAGCCCTATCGATGGCGTGAATCGGTACTGTGACTCGGTGAGGGTCGGTGTGGTTGGGCGAGCAGGCAGTCTCGTCAGTAGTTGGCCCAACTTCTACTGACTGCTGGCGTTTCCCTGCCTCCGAGACTCCCTCCCCTGCTCTGCTCCCCGACGCCTCAGCTCCTCTAGACATTCGCTCTTGCGATGGCCCGGCCGGTTGCAAGCAAAGCAGCGCCCTCTAAACGGCGCGGCAGCTGCATTTGCTGCGACGGCATGTACAGTGGCGTGCTCGGTCGGTCCCCGAGGACGATGTCCGTAATAGGACCCCGGTCTCGGTCGGCGTAGGATATCGATTTTCTCGGCGAGCGCGAGGATCTCGTTGAAATTCGAGAGCCCGCGTAGCATTATCTCGTGCGAGATGTCCGGCTTCAGCCCTCCGACGTAACGGTCCACCCGCTCCGCCTCGTGCATGTAGCCGACCTGTTCGCAAAGTGCGAGAAACCCGCTGGTGTAGTCTTGAACTGACCCGAGCTGGCGCCAAGTGCGCAGTTTCTGACGCGCCGAAATCGAGGCCGCGATCGGCTCAAAGCGCGCCCGAAGCCCTGCGCACCACGCATCCCACGTGCTGTATTGGGCGGTTTCGCAGAACGAACTCCAGGTAACAGCTGGACCCGAGGGCCCTTCCTCGTGCGACAGTGGCCTGTAGGCGCGCGGCGACGTCACAATGACTCGCCACCAGTCCATGGCGGGGCCCCTGAGTAGTGAAACCGCATACCGGATCTTGGCGGCGTCCGACTCGACGTAGTTGGCGTCGAAAAACACATTCATCGTGAAGACCCACGATTGAACTGTCGGGCCGCCGCGTTGGCTTGGGTCGAAGCAGGGCGGGCGTTGCGGCTTGAGTGGCATTGGGGCCATCATGGCGTTCTCGCCACTTGTCGCCGCAAACTCCACGTGCCGACGGGCTTCTCGGGGCTCCCGTGGGCTTAATGCGCTCCTGTTCCCTCCCATGCCGGGCATCGGTTGGGCTGCGCCGTCACTGGCTGCGCCTGAGCGCTGTCCCGTGCTGTTGTGTTGCGTTGGTGTGCCGGATGAGATGACGATGGGCTCCTCCGAATGTGCAGATGCATTGGTTGGTGCGTGTGATGGCGTCGGTACGTTCACCGTTGACGGGCGGAGTCACGTTCCGCCGTGAGAGTCGCGATTTCGAGCGCCGAATCCTCCAATTGACGCACGAGACGATCGAGTTGCTCCTGCGTCAACGTGGCGAGATTGAAATCGGCCATGGCGGGGGGTGTCGGGCAAGCTAAGCGAGAGCCTCGGTCGTGGCCGTGCGTGCTTTCGAGAGAGCACTACGAGCGGCAGTGCTGTGTCGCTGAGAGACGTCTACCCCCCCCCAAAAAATTGAGATAGTGGGAAGCGAAGGTGTGGATGCGGTCCGAGATGAGATCGTAGGCTCTGATACCAAGTGTTACGAGTGCAATTGAGTGAACGAACGAGAATTGCACTATCGAAGCAAGAATACAATTGAGCGAAGGCATGAGCGAACATTATATAGCGAAACTATAGTGGTAATGGTAATGGTCGCGCGACGAGCCTGGGACTGAGGTTGGGAAAGTGTCGAAGCGTAGGCCCGGAGCGCGGGTTACCAGCCGAGCCGTGAGGTCGGGATGCGATGTGCGAAAAGGGCGGGATGATGAATGATGCGATGGTCGTGAGTGGTAACGGTGCTGACTGAGGTGCTACAGTGATGTACGCGTTGAGCAGGGACGCGAAGTAAGGAAAAGGGAATTTCCTTAGAGTACTCGTTTGACACCTTAGTGCAATTCTAGCTACTTAGATTCATTGCACCCGTAACAGGAACACATGTTTTTGTGCCTTTCCAGCAGGCTCGACTCGGCCCACCAACCTTGGTGCTGCTGTTCGCAGCGGCAAAGAAAAGCTAGCATACATCTCCCCTTCCCTTCCCCTTCTCCCCTCCCAATTTCACCGCAAACCTATTTCCCGCGCGCGCGGCCCCTCAGCCCACCACGTCCTCCCCCCTCTCCGTTCCGCCACCCAAATTTCTTGCGCTACAGTTCCATTCCGCCACGACCCAAGCGCATTCGCTCCCCCTCCTCCGCTCCACCTCCCCCACTCCCCTTCCCCCCGCTACACCTCAGTGGACCAATCAGCCCATCATGCTGCCGCATCCATGGCAGCCATGGCGACTTTTTTCACCCACATCATGTCATGTGCACGCCCTCCAGTCCAGTATCTCCACCCACCCCACCCACCTCTGCTCCGCGCCCTGTTGCATGAGCAAGTTCAACCTTGACTACCTCCCTAATTACTCTGTTCCGCCTTTGCAGTGTGTGGCCTTGATTGTCCCAACCACAGGGATCTAAAAACGTCCCGTCAGTTCTCGTATACGTAGTAAGGGGACTGGCTTTTGCACAAGACGACGTGCAGGTGTGAGCCTGAGGTTGTCGGTCTGGACGTTAACAGTGCGTTTTTGTGAGTAAAATCAGACGGGCGTAAACACGACCGAGTGCGTGGCCAAGGTCGCAGTAGCCCGCCTCTCCCCGATGCGCGTGCTCCACGAGCGACGCTCCCAGCAGCTTAGTACCGGCGTCGTCCCAGTTGGCCGTGCAAAGCCGTTTTTTGACCGGGCGAGCCGAATGTGGGCTGGTGCGTTTCGGCATCACCGTTAGCCGCTTATCCTCACCGGTTTCCCGCCAATGGCAGTGCGTTAAATCCACCGTGCTTCGTCAGCGCAGCTATATCGCCAGTTCGCGCCCCACATTGCGCGGCCGGACGTGTGACATGGCTGCCAGCTGGCGTCCACGTCATCATATTCAGACGGTGACGATTCGGGCGTTCTCTGCTGCTGTCTCTGCCTAGTAATCCCTTTCCGTTTGTTCCTCTCGTCTCTTGAATTCTCCATTATCCCTGCGTTGCTTAAGGACGAGGAACACGAAGCCGACGAGGGCCGATGGCGAATGCAGGCGAGAGTACGATGAAAGAAGGATCGGCTCGTAGATTGACGGAGCGCAGGGATGCCGTAAGCGCAGCTGCTAACGGTATTATCGATGCCCATGCGAAGGCTTTGGAGACTAGCGAACGCGCCGACGAGTTGGCAAGCGACGGCAGCAACAGCAACGGCAACGGTAACGGTAACAGGAATACCGACGTCGATACCGCAAGCACCAGCAGCGGCGATAGCGGTATCAAGGGCAAGCCGAGAGAGCACGGGGGAAGGCAATCGGGCGCAGGCCCCGCCTTCCGCCCGAACCAGCAACTCCCCATGCCCACGCTCAACCGCGCCCGCTTCGGCCTCCCCGCCATCTGCCTCGATCTCGCCGTGCTCCCCAGCGGCTCCGCCGGCAGCCCCAGCAGCGGCAGCAAGGCGGCGCACGCCCGCGCGGGCGCGGACGGGCGGTTCGCGCGGAGCGCGAGCAGCGGAAGCAACGCGGAGGAGGAGACGGGGGAGATCGTGGGGACGGAGGAGGAGCCGATGGACGTGCGCGCGCGCAAGCAAAAGTTCCTCTTCTTCGAGAAGGAGTGCTCGCAGATCATGGCGCACGTGTTCGTGGGCAGCGACGCCGTGGCGCGCGACAGGGAGATCCTGCGCAAGTCGGGCATCACGCACGTGCTCAACTGCGTGGGGTTCGTGTGCCCCGAGTACTTCCCCGGCGACATCACGTACAAGACGCTCTGGCTGCAGGTGTGCCGCCGCCGCCGCCTTGTTGCCTCCTCCGTCCCCCTCCCCCCCTTCCGCCCGATCTGACGGAATGGTTGTTAGATTATTTTTCTCTTATTTTATATTATTTCTTATCCTGGCGGGTCGGGGGAGAGGTGAGGTGGGGAGGCAAGTAAGTCACGTTTACTAAGATACGCCAGGCATTTCGCTCCGTGTGCAACGTCGATCGTACTGGGTGGGAGCGCAGCTACGTGCGTGTCCCCCAGGATCGAAGCGACGTCACCGCTGCCCCGCTGTCGTGTGGCAGCGTCACTCTGGCGCGCGCTGCGATCCGCTGCTCCACTGCCATTCCTGCTGCTCTCCCTACTCCCCCCTCGGCCGCTCTCCCCTGTGTCTCCCCCCTCCATCCGCCCAACTCCCGTCCCCCCATCACAACCCCCCAACGCCGGAAATCATAGGATGCGTGCGACTATCGAATCGACTCGAAAATCCTTCCCCAAATCCACCCTTCCCCTCCGCCCCCCTGCGCCCATATCCTCCCCCCAACCAGGACAACACGTCGGACGACATAGGTGCGTGCGACTCTCGAATCGACTCAGAACTCCCCCATCCCATCCCGCCACCCTCTCCCCTTCGCCCCCATGCGCGCATGTCCATCCCCACCAACCCACCCATCCAGGACAACCCGTCGGTTGACGTCGCGTGCGTGCTGTGCGACGTGTTCGACTTCATTGGGGCAGTTCGGGCGGGTGAGAGTGCTAGTCATTACACCCGCAAACCTCTCCAACCACCCATCTCCACCCATTGCTACTACCTTCATCTTTCCTCCCCCGCCTCCCCTCAGGACAACACGTCGGAGGACATATCGTGTGTGCTGTACGACGTGTTGGACTCAAAACTCCCCCATGCCCGCATGTACCCTTCCCCCCGCCCCCCTTGCGCCCATGTCCGCACCCTTCCCCACCCCTCCCCCACCTCCCCACAGGACAACACGTCGGAGGACATATCGTGCGTGCTGTACGACGTGTTCGACTTCATCGAGGTGGTGCGCGAGGAGGCGGGCCGCGTGTTCGTGCACTGCTGCCAGGGCGTCTCGCGCTCCACCTCACTCGTCATCGCATACCTCATGTGGACCGAGGTATGCCGCCTCTGCCCTCCGCTATGCTGCCCTCCCCTGCCATGCCCTGCCATGCCATGCCATGCCATGCCATGCCATGCTAATTCACGCGATGCCTCGTGCCACGCCATGAGACGCCGTATCATAGCATGCATGCCATGGCACCTGCCCATCCATCGCATGTCACGCCATCGCCATGCGATCCCATGCGCATGCCGCGCGCCATGACACCCTATGTCGCGATGCTTCATGCTGCCACTGCGCCAACTGCTGGAGATGTGCATGGGTGGAAGGGGAAGTGAATCTAGGGGGGGCGAGGTGATGTGCAAGAGACTGGGGGTATGCACCCGTTCCTAATGGCGAGAGGGTCAAATGATCTCCACCCGTTCCTAACGCGCGTCCAGCGTGAGATTATGGCATAAGCGTACGCGCGCTGCTGCTGATGCGCCACTGCGCATCTCTTCTAACTGCTCGCCGTCTTGCCCTCGCCCCCTTTCCGTTCGCGTCCCTCGCCCTTCTTCAAACCCTTCAACTCTCCCTTCTTCCCCCTCCCCGCCCACTTTTTCCCTCCCGTCCAACCCCTTTTTCCTTCCTCCGCCCTTCCCCTCCGCCTCTCCCCGTCCCCCGTCGTCGCCCTCCACGCGCGCGCTTCGGCGAGCGCAGAAGCGCGGGTTCGAGGACGCGTTCCGGTTCGTGAAGGCGATCCGCGGCGTGGCGAGCCCCAACATGGGCTTCGCGTGCCAGCTGCTGCAGTGGCAGGAGCGCGTGCTCCCGCCCTCCGCGCTCCCCCCCGCGCACCAGCCGCTGCTAGACGACGGCCACGACGACGACGCCGCGGGGGGCAGCAGGCAGGACGGGGAGGACAGCCAGGCAGCGAAAGAGGAGCAAGAGAGGGAGAGGGAACGGGAGAGGGAGAGGGAGCGGGAGCGGGAGAGCGTGGTGCGCGTGTACCGCATGGCACCGCACTCGCCGTACGATGGCGTGCATCTGGTGCCCAAGGCCGTGCTGGACGTGGGGCCCCGCTGCCTCGACCCCCGCGGAGCCTTCGTCATCCAGGTATATGCCTCTCCCTCCCCCTCCCTCGTTCTCACCCTCTCCCTCTTCTCTTTCTCTTGTCTTTCTTTTGAAGTTCCGCCGTGGCTGCTCGTCTATGTGCCTCTCGTTCTCGCCTGCCACAGCGCCCTCCCTTTGCCGCCTTGCTCCTCGGGCTCAGCTCAGCCCTCCGCTGTGAACTATCCGTCGCTTGTCAGTCGTCAGCTTTGTCACCACCAAGAGCCTTTTCGGCTTCCCTTCCCGCCCTCTCTTCCTCCCTTCAAACCCCATCTACCCGCCTGGCATCCCCCCTAATCTCCTCCCCCCGTTCTCCCTGTCTTCCCACTCCGCGCCCTCCCTCCCTCCACTCTCCTTCCCCTGCCACTCCGCCTGCACTCCTCATTTCCTTCTCCCCCCATCCCCTCCCCTCTCCCCCTCCACCTTTCTATCCCCCTCCCCTTCCCTTTCCCCTTCCACCTCCCCTTCCCCCATCCCCACGCCCGCGCCCGTTCCGCAGGTGGGGCGCACTGTGTACACGTGGAAGGGAAGCCAGTGCCACCCGCTCATGGCGGAGCAGGCGGAGCGGGCAGCGCGCCAGCTCGTCACATACGAGGGCCTTTCCCCCCACTCCCCCTCCCCCGTGCTGCAAGGCGCGGAGCCCGCGCCCCTGCTCTCCGCGCTCCACTCCCACGCCTCCCGCGCTGGCAGGCGGGCGGGCGCGGGCGGCAGCGGGGGCGGCAGCAGCAGCAGTGAGTGGGCGGCGGTGATAGAGAGAGAGGGGCTCACGTATATGGGGCAGGACGCGCATATGCTCGCGGGCGCAGGGAGCAAGTCTCTTGCTGTCAAACCCACGATTCCCAAACTGGCCTCCATCCCTGGGAGTCAGAGCGCTAGGAATAGCAGCAGCAGCGGCAGCAGCGGCAGTTCAAGTAATAGCAGTAGTAGTAGCGGCAGTAGCGGCAGCAACGGCAGCAGTGGGAGTAGCGGCAGCAGCAGCAGCAGCGGGAGCAGCGGGAGTGGGAGCAGCAGCAGCAGCGGGGATGCAGCGGGGTGGGCCCCAGTGGCGGAGCAGCAGAGCGAGTACGACTATGACTACGAGTGCTTCCTGCGGGCGCTCGAGGGCGGCACGCCCAAGCCCATCGCGGGCCTCGCTTCCCCCAACGCCAAGGTGCTGCCGCACCACGGCAGGGGGTGGCTGGGCGCCACGCTCGATGACTGCTGGGCCGCACTCGCTGCAGGGGGAGGGGGAGGGGGAGGGGGAGGGGGAGGGGGAGGGGGAGGGGGAGGGGGAGGGGTTGGGGAGGGTGAGAGTGGGGGTGGCGGAGACAGCAGTGAGGGTTCCGCCGTTCGTCTGCACAGCCGGTCGTTTTCCGTTGGGCACGCCACCCTCCCCTCGCTGTTCCCTGTTCCGCCTGCCTCCGCCTCCGCCTCTGCCGCCTCCGCGTCATCCAAGCCTTCTAAGCCGGGGGCGTTGTCCCTGGGCGCAGACTCAGGAGGAGGGGGAGGCGCTGCCTCGAGCAAGCTCCTCTTCGCGCCTGTGCTGCGCAAGCCTCTGCCGTCGCTGCCGTCACCGTCGTCCTTCTCCCCGCGCTCCCTGGGCTTCTTCCCGCCCTCGGGCGTGGGCGCGTACGGGGCTGCGCTGCAGAAGTATAGTCCCGAGAAGAAGGGCGAGGGGGGCGTTGCGGGTGCTGCTGCAGGGGCAGCAGGCACGTTGGCGGGCAGTGGAGGCAGCAGCAGCAGTAGCGGTAGCAGCAGCGGGGGCAGCAGCAGTATTAGCAGCAGCAGCAGCAGCAATACCAGCAGCAGCGGTAGTGGTCAAGCGTCGTCTAGGCTGGGGGGCGCAGGGAAGGCTCCTCGAGGTAGCAGGCTGCAAATGTCCACAGGGGGGCTCGCAGGCTTGCAGGGCACGGGCGGAGCCAGTGGCGCGGGCGATGGGGACGGGGTGGCGGGCGGGCAGGTGGGCGCGGAAGCGAGAGGCGCGGGGGAAGCGGAGGTGCACGCGCTGGGCGGATCCGCGCTGAGTGACATGAATACCGCCGCAGTGCAGGGGGCGGGGATGGGGGCGGAGGAAGAGGACGAGAGTTCGGGAAGCGGGGGTGGCGTTGGGAGGGTGTCTAAAGGGGGAGGGGAAGCGGGCAGCTGGATGCTGTCGCCGCGTGGGCCTAGGAACACGCCCAGCAAGCTGTGGGAGGCGGAGGAGGCAGGGCAGGGTGCAGCAGTGCAGGAGGAGCGGAGAGAGAGGGAGGCGCGGACACGGGGAACCCGAGGAGAGGGGTCAGGGACTAGGGAGCGATCAGGTGCAGCGTCTGCTCGGCCGCTCCCTCCCAAGCCTTCGCTTCCCTCTGGCATGGTCCCTGTAGGCAATGCAGTCCCCTCCGCTGCCTCCTCCTCTGGCGCTTCCCGCGCCACCCTCCCGCCCAAAGGCCGGTCCGCGTCCCCTCTGCGCCCCCCCCCGCCCCCAGCAAACCACTGGTGGTGCTGCTGCCCCCAGAGGAGGGAGTAGAGGGGTTGGTGTGGGTGGGATGGCTGATGGGTTCATGGATGGCGGAGGGTGGAGGGAGGAAGAGGATGATGAGGACGGGAGTGGGGATGGGGGAGGGAGGAACATGTATGGAGCGCTGCTGACGCCTAGAAGGAAGCCTCCTGTGTCGGCCTTTGGAAGGGAGAGGGGGGCGCGGAAAGGGAGAGAGGGAGGGGAGGGTGGTGGGAGGAGAGGGCAAGGGGGTTTGGAGGAGGACAAGTGGGGAGGTGATGGGGGCGAGAAGGGGGTTGGCGGTGGGGGCTTTGGTGGGGAGGATGGTGGGTTTGGTGTGCCTGGGATGGAAGATGACGGGGAGAGTGCGGGGATGGGGAGTGATGATGAGAGTGGTGGTGGAATGGCGTTTAATCTGCCCACGCCTAGGAGGGGCGGACCACAGATAAAGAAGATGTTTTGAAGGGAGTGGAGCGTTGGAGAGTCGGGGAAGGGCAGGAACAAAAGAAGACCTCTTTATTTTAATCTTATGTGATGCAGGAGAAGTGTGCGAAGTGCTGCAACGGCGGTAGCAGGCCCGAATTAGCTCGTTGCAGTCTGGGTTGGTGCGGTGTGGAGGGGTGGGCGCTTGTTAGAGGTGTTGTTGTGAGCAGTAGAGGGATCAGCAACAGAGAGGTGCTGTGGTGTTGCACCCACTCTTTGGGACCAGATAGCCATGCAAGTAAGAAAGCGAGAGAGTCCAGGCAACACGAGGAGCCCTGCACGAATGGATGCATATGGAGCAGAGGGGATGGGGCCGAAATCCACAAGTTGACAAGGGAGACTTGGTCATCTACCGGACGACCCCCAAGGGAGAGCCCGTGGTGGTTGTGCAGAGCAATCGCTTGGCATGGTAGTTGATTTGTGCAGAGCAATTGCTCGCGAGTCGCGTACGAGTACCTGTAGCTTGGTGTGTACTGCTCGTAGACCTGCTCTGCATGTGTTTACGGTAGGTATTTATATGGGATTGGTTGGTGTCCTCCTTTAGCTTGTTTGCTAGTATAATAATAGCAGCTTTTTTATTTCAACCGGCTCTGCGTGTGCCTGCCTGGTGGTTAGTCAGATGAAACCAACGAGGTGTTGCAAAATGAAAATTTTCTAAGCGTTAATCGCTTTCAAATTTGCGTATTGTGAATGCGAAGCTGACTGTAACGCAATTTCGCGCATCGTCGAAGCGCGGTATTCGCCTTCTCCGAATATATAATGTGGGCTGGGTTGGGGTGATTCTTCCCCCACCCACGTCTCTCATTTTTACAATCTCTCAAGTTCAATTCCCACCCACCCTCCCCATGCTAGTCATCTTCAGAGAGAAGTAGTTCTTAGACATTTTGGATGTGATAGTATATTATTATTATTGCTAGGAACCATTGTACTTGAGCACCATTGTAATGAGAACGATGCCAATTGCTACAGAAGCAAACTTTCTCAATTGACTGGTTTTGTGCCATTAGAAGGGGGGGGGGGGGGGGGGGGGGGGGGGTCACTATTCTAGCTGCTGGCTTTAAACATCATGACAGACAGTACAGTATGGGTGGAAGATAATCCACCACACTGCCCTAGTCATTCCCCTCTGGTAGAGGGGAAGAGGGGGGGGGGGGGAGGGGGGATGTATTTACACTTTTACACTGTCTCATTGTTTATCTCATGTTATATACAAAACCCCAAATGCCCATCGTACGGCCTGAGCACATGTTGGCTCGTTATCCAATGAAACCATAATGCTCTCACCACCACATTCAGCTAGTACTCATCATTTTGCTTTGCCGGCCATCTTCACCAGTACCACAGCTCAGTACCTCAGGTAGCAGCAACGCCAGCCACTCATACAGGAACATGCTGTACCACATTGCTTCTTCTACCGGTAACGAACGAGCATCCTCTACTCTCACGGCAACTAGGCAGCACCAGGCTTGTTAAGCCCCCGGAGCATCATGGCAGCACGCACAACCACCCACTTCTTCTTGCCCTGCAGCACCGGGTACGGCATCATGGGCATCTGCACATCCCCCTGCACCTCCAGCTCCTTCTGAATGAGCGCCGCCCTCGCCTCCTCTCCCAGCTCCACTCCCTCACTCCTTACACTCCGCACACTCACCCCACTATCCACTGCGGCCACTGCATCAGCTGCTGCTGCGGCTGCGTCTGCTCCGGTGACCGAATCAAAGGAAGAGGCTGTGAGGTGTGCGAGGTGCGCAGCGCGCTTGCGCACGGACTGCTGCACAAACTCGACAAAGAATTGAGGGAACCCGGGGATGCGCTCGTACCCAGGCATGTAGTTGATGTCCACCACAAAGTACCTGCATGCAAAACCACAAGAGACGTGCCGGTTGACAACACAACGGACAACTCGAGTAGGCCTAGGGCCAGATGACGGTGCAATAAAAATACACACATCTCGTTGTCTTTCTCCAAGAAACACCTAGGAAATGACAAGGACAAAGCAACCCTATGCACACAGAACTGCGCTTGGCACAGATTCCTCCTCCCCACCTCTCTAGCCCCTGAGCTGACCTGTCAGCGTGGCCGCCTTGTCTTAGAATGTCCACGTTGAAAGCATGCAGGCGCAGGTGCTTGCGCAGCGTGAGTCCAAGATCGTGCATGAGGGCGGGCGGGGGGTCGGTGACCCTGGTGTCCTGCAGCTCCTCCTCGCTCATGTGTACGTTGGAGATGCGGTTGAACTCCACCACGCCCACTCCCTGCGAGCAAACAGATGCCATGCATGCATGCATGCATGCATGCACCACACATTGTGCACACAGCAAATGCCATACGGAACCCACAGATGGAAGAATGAGCCTGGCTGTGTGCACTTAGCGATGCTTGTGAAGCGAGGCCAGAGAGGGTGCGGGGTGCAGGAGATGCACTGAGGATCTCCAAGGACGAGCAAAGCATGCGAGTGAATGAGTGAGAGGGTGGGTGAGTGAGTGAGTGGATGGGTGGGTGGGTGAGTGATTGCTTGAGTGAAAACCGTTGGCTACTAAGTCAAAGGAACCAGATGAAACGAGTTTTGAGCAAGCAGAAGGCACGGCGGTCCCTCCCACATAGGCCGCATTTCCTTCCCTGGAATTAGGGTTCCCACCACCAACCTTGCGCAGGAAGTCCCATTTCCCCGCCTTGGGGCTCGGAACCTCCATGGGCAGCGGCGCCACGTCAGAATCGTCCGCAGCGGGCGCCCAGAGTTCAGGCGGGGGGATATCAGGCAGGGACTGACGGCGGAAGACCATGATCTTGTCGCCCAGCACGTAGAGCTTGAAGAGGATGCCGCCGTGGTTCACAAACTCCTGCAGCAGCACGGGCGCCTGCACCTGCAGCAGCGACTGCTCGTCCAGCACGAGCCCCAGTGTGTGCGAGCTCGTTGTTCCGTTCGCCTCCAGGGGCTTCGCTACCGCCGGCAGGGAGAAACCCGCGTCTGACAGGAGGAGCGGGCGGGGGCGGGGCAGGAGAGGCAGGGTGAGGTGGGCAGGCGGGGCAGGGGGGGAATGGGCAAGAGGGGCAGGGACAGGCAAGGTGCACAGAATAGCAAGAGCAGTGCAAGGGGGGCGGGTGCTACTATGGTTCAGTTTCAGCCGTCGTGTCCTTCCTCTCCGCCTTTACAACCGAAGTCTCTCGCGCAACTGCAGTGAACTCAACAGTTTGCTGCTAAGAATAATGAACGGCGCGGAACCGCCATCATTCCCATGGTGAGCCTGGACCTAGTGTCTCACCCAAGGTGAAAAGACAATCTTAACCCTCGCCTCGCCCCTCAGTAGAGTTGAGGCACCTCAAAACTAAACACAGTTTTAATCTTCGTTTCGTCTCTCACCTTGTAATATCTTGGCGATGTCCTGGGACGGCGTGCCGCGCTCGATGATGATCTGATTGGGCACGTGCACCTGCGCGCCGTGCTCGGACGCGTCCACGTGGCTAACGGCCGCGAGCATCTCGCGGCGGTCGTCCAGCTTGTGCACGTTCTCGTACTCGTCGATCACCACCACCTCCGGGTGCTGCCGCTCGTACGCCCCTAGATTCGCCGCCCACTCCTCGCCCTGAAAGGAACGCGGAGAAGAGGAAGGGAAGGAGGGAAAGGGGGTAAGAGAGAGGGAGAGAGGAGGAGACGGGAGAGATTTTTGGGGAGAGCGGAGGGGTTGTGGTGGTTCAAGGAAGAGGGTGGTTGGGGGAGATGGGGGGTGGAATAGTGGGTGCGTAAGAAATCCCATACTTCGGTGTGCCTTACTCTTTCTTGTTTTCACATAAGACGCGGTTACATGCAGTCAGCCTTCAAGTTCTTGAATAGTTCTTATGACGGAAATGAACGCAATAGTTCTTTCGAAGCGAACGAACTAGTAGTTCTTCGCATTTGGACACAAGAAGCTCGTAAAATGCCGTTGGCGTCCCGAGGAGCGCATGAGTTCTGAGGCGTCTCAAAGCTCGATGTCGTCAGCATAAAGAAGCAGCAAAGGCGAGACGATAAAGCAGATCTTACGTCAAGTTTGTGCAGGATCATGTTGAAAGGCCCTTGATCAACCAACGGACGGCTCGGATCAATCTCCACAAATTCGACACCGCATGTCTGAGCGTGTGCTAGTAGCTCGGGTTGCATGAAACTCGCTATTCTCTTGGGCCGTAGCGCGTATCCCACCATAATTCGCTCGCCCACCACGCCATTCCCAGCAGCAATCTCCTCTGTCATTGTAATGCGTATTTTCAGAACCAGCTGATTTTCTCGGGTGTAGGGACAGTGGGTACGCGCTTATTGCGTTTCGACGCCTGTGTCCGTGCTCGAGAGAGTGACGGGAAGAAGGATGTGATGCGAGAAATAAGAGCTGTGTTGGAAAGGCTAACTCTCTTGGCAGCTTTGTGGGAATGCTCGAGGTTTCCTGCTACAAATTTGGAAAGAAATAGATTACTTATTTGAAAGTTCAGGACATTATATGTACAGTTTGAGCAAATCCCTTGGACAGCCAAGTGAGTCAGCATGGAAGGTTAGACAGGTCAGTCAAAGCGCAGGGTGATCCCAGAATTCCGTTCATCCAATCCGATCCGACGACGGTGTTGGTAACCTGGGAACCGTGGAAGGTGGTGCTGACTGCTGTGAAGGTCCTCCTTCCGTTGCTCTCCAAGGCACAGCATGCGTCGGGTCGCGCGGAACCATGCCATAGACTGCCCGCTTCGCTGTGGTGGAACGATCGAACGGTACGCTTCCTTTGCGGTGCCATGCGGTGTGGGCGAGGGAAAATCTTGCGAAAGAACTGATTCGTTCACGACACGACACGACACGACACGACACGACACGACAGGACGACGAATGAAACGGGTGAGCTGAGGTACTGACAGTTCCTGGAAGCAACCCTGTGCCCCCCGGGATTTTGATGCACACCTAAATTCTCGGGCTATTTTCAGGTGGATGCAACTTAATCTAGCAACTGCACTCAACTGCATACCATG